GTGCACTCAGTTGACCCGGCTATCTAGGCTCCTTATACTACTCACGGAGTTTCAGTTTTTAGGTTCTCCTCCAAAATACCAGCGAGTTTCACTTCTAAACCGAGCGCTTGGCGAAGTAATAGTTGCTTCCTGTTTTATCTAATTACATGAAGATCAGCCCAAACGCAATAAAGGTAATGAAACAAATACGTAGTTTGTTTGTATGTTGTTTAACGTCCCTCTCGAGAATTTTTCACTCATATGGAGACGCCACCACTTGCCGGTGGAGAGCTGCAAATTTTGTCCTATACTCGGCACTTACGGCCATTGAGCAGTGAGGGATCTTTTTCGTGGCAGCACCTACTGCGACACGGGACCTCGGTTTATACGGTCTCATCCGAAGGACCGGTCTCCACGTCCCCCAGTGGGATTCGAACCCGCGACGTAAGGATCAACTCCTTAAGCCGCGACTCTATAAATGCGTAGTAATACATTTGAAAGATAGAAACTTAGTGACTACATACTAGGTTTATCATCAGTCCTGTAGTAGATGTTGATATGACTTATGCTGACCACTTTCTGTAGAGCTACTCTCAACTCAGCTGTTTCTTTTTTATCTGCCGATATTGTACAACGGTTTCCTCCTGCTGATCGATTAGTATATAGTCCATCAATTGCCTTTTCCGCTCCCCAGATTTCATTTGAATAGTTGTATTTCTGCCAAGCTTGTTTACCTAATGCTAAATTTGCTTTTGAAAAAAAAGGTGCAATTTGAGTTATAAGAACATAAATATTCTACTTATACGTGTATCATACTTCATGGTATTCAACATCACTTAGTGTTGTATTTCATATTAACAGACATACAATTGAACTGGTGCGTTTTAAGTTCGCATTTTTTATTACAGTTTATTCAAATCTATGTACAAATTTTAACTCTTCCAAAGTATTTTTGTTTTAATGCCGTATGTCAAATAAAATCATCTTCTCCTTTAAAGACAAGGGGCCCAACGGCCTTAAAGGTCACCTGAGTACAGTACAACAATTTATAGGATCCATAAACTGATGAATGAAGCTTTGTTGCCCAAAAGCAAGAAAAATAGTATGATTAGCATCATCAAAATAATTGGTCTAGTATCTATCTCCCCCCATCTATCACTACATGTATTCCCATGCAGACTATTAACAAAATGTCTATTATTTAACCCCATATTATTACTTCTCACAATGGCCTCTCTTGGCCTTTGAAGAACATTTAAAAAGATAACTAATTTTTGTCTCATTTTAATTCATCTATTATTTCCAAGTCATTAAATCTATGAAAGTACTTTTTTTTTAATTATACAGTAAATTTTCTTGTATAATTCTCTTATTCTATTAAGCTTTCAAATACATTATTTACATTGATTTATTATCAAAGGTGAATGACAAAGGGGAATAACTTTGCTCAGCAGAATACAAGTTAATAAAGCCCTGGCCAGGACCAGAACACTTGACTAAATGATCCAGTCTTCAAAATTGTGGTAAAAATACCCTTGTATATTAAAACTTTTCCTCTGTTTGCCTTGAACATCCCCAGAAGCATAGAAGATTTTCCAAAGAAATGCATTTTCACAATATTATTAAATAAATAAAGCCCCATCCTTACACCAGAACATCTGACCAATTGGCCACGAACTCACAATTCTGGAAGAAGCACCCTTTCTCATGATAACTATATACTTGTTTCTTTACTTTATAACCAGTAGTAGAAGATTTTCAAAGAATTAATGCATTTTCACTATATAATCGATAGAGCACTGCCCTAACACCAGAACCCCTGTGTGAAATTCACAATTTTGAAAGAGGCACTCTTGTTTATCATAACTATATACTAAGTTACTTTATTTAATGCCCAGGAGCAGAGAAGAAGATTTTCAAAGAATTAATGTATTTGCAATATATAATCAATAGAGCCCCACCCTAACACCAGAACCCCTTACCCTGGGGGCATAAAATTCACAATTTTGAAAGAGGCACTCTTGATCTTCATAGTTATGTACTTAATATCCAGGAGCAGACAGAAAGATTTTCAAAGAATTAATGCAATTCTACTATATAAACAATAGAACCTTGCCCAAATACCAGAACCCCTAACCCAGGGGCCATGAAATTCACAATTTTGGAAGAGGCACTCTTCCTCATCATACTATGTACAAAGTTACTTTATTTAATACCCAGGAGCAGAGAAGATTTTCAAAGAATTAATGCATCTTCACTATATAATCAATAGAGCCCCACCCTAACACCAGAACCCCTGACCCTGGGGCCATGAAATTCATAATTTTGGAAGTGGCACTCTTGCTCATTTTAACTATATACTAAGTTAGTTTATTTAATACCCAGGAGCAGAGAAGAAAATTTTCAAAGAATTAATGCATTTTCACTATATAATCAATAGAGCCAGGCCCTAACACCAGAACCCCTGACCCTGGGGCCATGAAATTCACAATTTTGAAAGAGGCACTCTTGTTCATCATAACTATGTACTAAGTTACTTTATTTAATGCCCAGCAGCAGAGAAGAAGATTTTGAAAGAATTAATGCATCTTCACTATATAATCAATACAGCCCCGCCCTAACACCAGAACCCCTGACCCTGGGGCCATCAAATTCACAATTTGGAAATAGGCACTCTTGATCTTCATAATTATGTACTTAATACCCAGGAGCAGACAAAAAGATTTTCAAAGAATTAATGCAATTCTACTATATAATCAATAGAGCCTTGCCCAAATACGAGAACCCCTGCCCAGGGGCCATGAAATTCACAATTTTGGAAGTGGCACTCTTGCTCATCATAACTATGTACTAAATTACTTTATTTAATACCCAGGAGCAGAGAAGAAGATTTTCAAAGAATTAATGTATTTGAAATATATAATCAATAGAGTCCAACCCTAACACCAGAACCCCTTACCCTGAGGGCATGTAATTCGCAATTTTGAAAGAGGCGCTCTTGATCTTCATAATTATGTACTTAATACCCAGGAGCAGACAAAAAGATTTTCAAAGAATTAATGCAATTCTACTATATAATCAATAGAGCCTTGCCCAAATACAAGAACCCCTAACCCAGGGGCCATGAAATTCACAATTTTGGAAGAGGCACTCTTGCTCATCATACGATGTACAAAGTTACTTTATTTAATACCCAGGAGCAGAGAAGAAGATTTTCAAAGAATTAATGCATCTTCACTATATAATCAATAGAGCCCCACCCTAACACCAGAACCCCTGACCCTGGGGCCATGAAATTCATAATTTTGGAAGTGGCACTCTTGCTCATTATAACTATGTACTAAGTTAGTTTATTTAATACCCAGGAACAGAGAAGAAAATTTTCAAAGAATTAATGTATTTTCACTATATAATCAATAGAGCCCCGCCCTAACACCAGAACCCCTGACGCTGGGGCCATGAAATTCACAATTTTGAAAGAGGCACTCTTGTTCATCATAACTATGTACTAAGTTACTTTATTTTATAGCCCAGGAGCAGAGAAGAAGATTTTGAAAGAATTAATGCATCTTCACTATATAATCAATAGAGCTCCGCCCTAACACCAGAACTCATGACCCTGGGGCCATTAAATTCACAAATTGGAAAGAGGCACTCTTGATCTTCATAATTATGTACTTAATACCCAGGAGCAGACAAAAAGATTTTCAAAGAATTAATGCAATTTGACTATATAATCAATAGAGCCTTGCCCAAATACGAGAACCCCTGCCCAGGGGCCATGAAATTCACAATTTTGGAAGAGGCACTCTTGCTCATCATAACTATGTCATTAGTTACTTTATTTAATACCCAGGAGCAGAGAAGAAGATTTTTAAAGAATTAATGCATATTCACTATATAATCAATAGAGCCCTGCCCTAACACCAGAACCCCTGACCCTGGGGCCATGAAATTCATAATTTTGGAAGAGGCACTCTTGATCTTCATAACTATGTACTTAGTTAGTTTATTTGATAACCAGGAGCAGAGAAGAAGATTTTCAAAGAAATAATGCACTTTCAGTATATGATCTATATAGCCCCACCCTAGCACCAGAACCCCTGACCCTGGGGCCATGAATTTAACAATTTTGGTAGAAGGCTCATTGCTTATTACAATGCTGCCAACAGTTTGACTGCTTGATGTCCAGGAGTAAAGAAGAAGATTTTTAAGGATTGCATAATTTTTGGTGGTTTTAGCCCCACCCCTCAGGCCCCAGGGGGGCAGGGACCATGAAGTTCATAATTTTTGTTCCCCTTCACCCATAGATGCTATATGCCAAATTTGGTTGTAATTGGTTGGGCGATTTCAGAGAAGAAGCTAAAAATGTTCAAATGTTAACACACGACGCACACCGCACGCCGACGGACGAGTACGGAGTGACTCATGTGACCTAAAAATGCTTAATCGCAGAAAAAATAAGCAATATTCTACAGCAATTTTCTATTTTCTGCATATTGCTTCATTAAAAATGCTCTGCATTTTGAGAAGTTTAAATAGCATTTACGAGAGTAAAAGCTTTTAATACTGACATCATGATAGAATGAAGCAAAACAACATCATGAAAAGTATTTCATTGCTGGTCATTAAATAAGTATTAACGATCGCAAAGAACCAAAAAAAGTTACTTATTAATTAGATAATAAGGTTAACATAAAACAAAATGACTAGGGAGAAAACTTACAATAACTACAGTGTAGACCATGATACCCGGACGAACAACCATTCACACAATAGCCGGTCACTGCATCACACTGCCTTCCCTGACATTTCTCTGGACACAATCGGTTACAATTTTTCCCGAAATAACCAGGATCTGAGCATCCTGTTTAACAATTTGAACAGTTAGCCCCTTTACTGGTTTTAATCAGTAATTCTAACATCAAAGAATATACATGTATTTATAATCAGGAAATTAAGAACACAGAATATTTGTCATTTTTGAATATACACGTATTAAGAAACATGTTGCACCTCACCGTATACTTCCAGTTCACACAGTTCATTGAATGCGTACGTAGAGTAGTAACTAGGATAAGTCACATTCGGTCTCCGTTCATTGTAATATATCACATATCGTCCATAAAGAGAACAGTTGATCCTCTGGTCCTCTATAGGTGTGCCACTCACATTCTGTATCTCATGGAAACAAAGATAACCGTCTTCTTTTGAGGTCGTATTTGAAATGAAGAGGAAAAACCCAGCAAATCTTGGCACATATACAGTGGGACCTAAAATATAAGAGTTTATGTATCTAAAAAAAATCATCCATTTTATTTCACAAAAACAAAGCCATCACGAAACGGAGTATTTCCTTTCAAAAAAGAACATATCGTTCCTGACGTGAATTATTTCTTGCTTAATTTCTGTTAACAACACAACCCAACACACACACACACACACATACGTTACTATATCTTCTGCAACTTCGTTGCGAGATGATTTTTTTTTTTCAATGGAATCACAGTTTTACTCTTTTATATTTTTTTGGAGAATACTTTTATAATTCTAAGTAAATTTAAAGTTGCAACTATGTTTTTGATTATTGAGCATGTTGAGTTTTTATACGTTCCATGTCATAAGCTATGTGAACCGCAGTTTGGGTCTCTGCTACAGTTTGATTAATTGATCAGTGAGAATCTATTAAAGAAGCGATTATTATGAATGATTTCTGAGTTCTAACTGAAAACAAGTGCCATCCTTTGCAGCAACATTAAAACTTGTCTTATCAAGATGTTGTGTATTCTGAAATCTTGTCTAAAACGATGTAAGGGATTTCAGTCCCTTTCAGTAAATTCGGTTAAATATGTTGTCTAATCCGGAATGTTGTCTTATACGGCATATTTCTTTGGAACCAGTGGTGTCCGAATTAAACAAGTTTCACTGTATAATTGATTACTTTTATAATTTATTTCTGCCCTGATGCAGTGAATACGATTACCGATATGTTGACTTAAAATTTTGTTATATCAGCCTTGCTGCAATCAACAAAAATGCTAATGTTGATTTTCAAAATTTTGTTACTGATTATAGGCAGAAAAACCAATTCTTCGAATTATTTTATTTCCATGAAATTGTATTGCAATACAATACAGTTTCAACCAGATTGAATTGCAAACATCACCTAAGTTCAGAGTAATCACCATCAGACTGAGGTGTAAATTAGGCTCTCAATTTTCTGTAGCAGGAAAATTAACTAATAACAGGGGACTCTGCAGCTTTCACTTGTTACAGTGTTTTCACAGTTTACAACATAAGATTGAATAGGCGAAGAGAGATAACTGATGGAAATAATCCTATGAATAAGGAATATATCCCATCACCCCAGCTCAAAAGCTGATTAGATCCAGAATCAAAATCGGTATCAAAATTTGTCTTGCTGCCTATTCAATCTAGATTCCAAATTTGCCCTTAAAAGGAAAATTGTAAAAGAGCTATTAAGAAATACAAAAAAATTGTGGAAGGAAGAATGACGGACAGACATACAATGAGAGTCCGACAGACTGATAGAGTAATTACAATAGGGCATCCTCGAATCCTTGCGAACTCTAATAAAGATAATGTCTTCTTACATCTTAATGCAGATTGAATTAAAGTAAGAAAATTTTTTAGAACATATTAGAAAATGTACACATACGAATACTGTTTTCCTTAACAATTTAAGTGACACGCCATTGCTGGTCACATGGAGGTGTATGAGCTAGAACACCCACCCCCACCCCTCCCATATTTTTTTTTGATCATGCACGGGCGGCAGGAAGTAATTCAATTTAGAAAACAGTACTTGGTAAGTTCTAAAACACTTAAAACAAAATACGTGAAAAAAATAAGTGTCTGTGAACTGTGTAATGCTCATTCAGGTCTACACCTTTATTAGATAAAAGGGATCTGAGTTCTTAATCAATATTACTAGTCTAAAATAGATTATTTCATAAATCCATTTTTTTTCCTCTTATCTAGTGAAAACCAGTTTTAAATAGTTTATACATACCTTGTTTATTATCCGTCCTGTAGAAGATATTAATGTAGCTGATGCTGACCACTCTCCCTAAATCAACCCTCCAAGTTGCTGTTTGTTTTTTGTCTCCTGATATAGTGCACTGGTTACCTAAATGTGAGCGATCTGAATACTTCCCATCGACCGCCTTTGCTGCACCCCAGTTTACAGGTTCATTTGGCCAGTTGTTTGCCTGCCAGGCAGGTTTTCCAAGAGCTAAATTTTCTATATGAATAGAATACCCAAAATGATTTTAAACTATTTCATATGCATAAAATACAAGTTAACGCTAATTTATAGATGTGAACTTTTATGTATAAGATATATTCGCACATCGGCAATGTCATACCGTTCCCTCGATAAATCAAATAGTGGAAAATATTTACTTTTAATCTTTTATTTTATTTATTTTAGTTGTTGGTTCAGAAACAGAGGCCCATGTATCTTTTCACAAATGGTGTAAAATGGCTTTGACCGCGGAGATACCAAGTACGAAGGGAATCAGAGAAATGCCGTGGAAAGCCTGCTTCCAATCTGTTTGATTTTTACACACAATTGGACTAAAATAGTTTCATTTGGATTCCATTCATGTTGCAATTTTTTTGTATGAATGCGATAGCTTGTATCCCTATTTTGCTTATCTTGTATTTTTTCTGTAACACTCCTTTATATCTCATCTATATCTAAAAGTAAGAGTCATGTGAACGATGGGATGAATTTTACATTTAAAATCCAGATTAGTGTTGTTCTGATCCAAACATTTGCTTTATCCATTTACAAATAGATCAAATCTATATTAATGCAAAAAAGGACGGAATGGTGTGCTATCGACGTTTCACATTTAACGATAGTTACTATCGTTCATAAATCGACTTCATATATCCCGATGAAATAAAAGACACCCACAAATAGGGTGACTCAAGCTTTTCCATCGTAATCATCTTTATTTATGCGGTAATATTTTAACATCACCTGCATAAGGTGTTTAGGCTTTGTTTATGATTATTTTTTTGAGAGAGAGAAAGGGAGGGGGGCAATGAAAACTGTCGCTTTTCATTATCATTGCCTGTGACAAAAAATTCAATTGTCAAGGTTAAATTGAAAATAATTATTTTGAACCTAGTCTATTCCGTTTTCAAGTCTTGAATACTAAAAGAAAATACGGTCTGGTTATGGAAAATTACGTTGGCACACCAGACACGAATATCTTGGTTCTTCTGAATACCAAACGAAAAATACAGACATATGAGAGTCTTTTTCGAAGCTTTCGTATTGATGAAAAACGAATGACTAATATACTGAAGGAAAAAATCCCGATCTTTTTTAATAGCACCTAGGCATCTAGTATTTAAAAAACAATGCGTTTTGAAGAAAAAATGTTCTGTAAATTGAATTGATCAATTTAATCTTTCTTCTCTTCTGTCTGTCCGTCCATCTTTGAAAGCCTATATCTTGAGAAAAATGAGATATGGATTTGATATTTTGCACATATATTGCTTAGAATTTTGGCTTTTGTAAAGTACCAGGGTTACCAGTTGCTTGACCTTTGAACTTGATCGTTGACCTATTTTTGCAAAATTTAAGTATTTTTTTTTTTCAGTAGACCTCTGATATTTAAGATGTACGTCACTTCTATAAAACATGTGCATTGTTTGTCATAAAACATCATGACAAATACAAGAGTTACAGTCCACTTGACCTTTCACCTACATTGCAAAAATACTCCAGACAGTTGAATTAAACTGTCTCTTTGATTCCGAGAAACAAAGTTTTAATATTTAACATTGATGTCACCTGTTTTTGAGTCCAAGGCCCTGTACTTTGAAATTGTTTGCTATACAGTTACGACACAAACTGAAATTTAAAGACACTGAAAATGAATTGGGATCGGTATACCAGAAAGATAGAAGTAGACTGACAATTATAATAAAAAAGACTGAAATCTATTTTGGGAAAGAATTGGATTAAACACTTATTTCAGTATAAGAATTAATCACTTATCATTTCAATTTAGTTATTCATTTCCGATTTGAGGGTTGGGAAATCATACTTCTTTTTGATTGTCAGATTTTACATAATAAATGACGTGTTTGGCTCCAATTTTTTTTCCAGCTCTTCAAAGTTTTTTCTCTCAATATTTTGGATTTCCAACGTTTTGGCATGAACATCACTGAAAAGATATAATTTGTCGAAATAGTTTCTGGTGCATCGAAATTGGTACTGTATATGATTTACATGCTACTCTGTCGTTTTTACTTTATAAAAATTAAGGTCCATTACAACGTTTTCCAAAGGTGGAGTCTCGGTTCATTTTTTAATGCTGGATTTTGCCAGTGCATGTTCGACCGCACAGGAACAAAAAGTGGGGAGAGGGCAAGCTTCCAAATGGAAATTTACATAGTAACCATTCTCGGAAAAAGTGCCATCCACCCCTCTCTGCGTGCAGCGATCCTGTGTATGTTTTTGTCCCCCGCTTTCACTGAAAGTTGGGGATATTAATTTGGGTCTGTCTGTCCGTCCGTCCGTTCGTCTTTCTGTCTGTCTGTAACACTTCCGTTTCCGCGCGATATCTCGAGAACCCTTTGAGCTTTCGAAATGAAATTTTGCATAGCAACTCCCTATGGCCTAAAAAAGAACGCTATTTATTTTGAGGTCAAAAGGTCAAGGTCATAAATTAATAAATTCTGTCTGTTTTAACACTTTCGTTTCCGAGCGATATCTCGCGAATTCTTTGAGCTTTTGCAATGAAACTTTACATAACAACTCACTGTGGGCTAAGGAAGACCCCTATTGATTTTGAGGTCCAAAGGTCAAAGTTCAAGATGGTAAATTCATAAATTCCGTCTGTATGTAACACTTTCATTTCCGGGCGATATCTCAAGAAGCTTTTGAGCTTTTGCAATGAAATTTTATACCATAATTCCCTATGGCCTCTCTTGCCCCTCACGAAGTGTCCCGCCCCCTTTTTTTTAAATTTATTTATTGTATTAAAAGTCGCTTGGCACTATTTTTAGCACAGGGGCATGTGGAGAGTTTTTACGTATAATACAGGTTGTCGGCTGACTTTATATTCTAATTACACCTATTATAACTGTTTAGTAAAGGGTAAATAAGACAACATTTATTGTGTAAAATTTTGACAATATCAAACGTGAATATAAACATTATATGTGACTTAATGTTTTCATTTAATTTGCTCTATAATCAAATGCCTCCGTGGTCTAGTAGTATGTTGCTCGCTTAGCAAGCGAGAGGCCCGGGTTCAATCCCAGGACGATTCTCTTTTTTTTTAAATGTTTTTTTTTTTGGATTTACTTAATGATACTATTCAACATGTGAAATGAAAAAGTTATGTCTAGCCTGTACAAACTCATAAAATCATTATAACAGTGCGATAAATATTCTGTATATAGTATATTAAGAAGAATCTTCTATACACATATTAAAGAATAAGCAATCAAATCTTTATATCCATATTGGCTTTTTTTAATTTGCTACAATATACATATATACATTTAATAATTCTACAAATACAGGGGGGGCAGTGTGATCCCCCCCCCCCCCGAACTGTGCACGCTCTTCTTTTTTCCCTAAGCGGGGGACACAAATTCTCTGAATTAGCTTGTATTCCTTTGCTCTCATACTATTAGCAAATAAATATCTGACACCCTGAGATTTATTTTTTTCCATGCCGTTATAAAACAGGCGACACAAGCCTTCCTTTGAACACTTTACTTTTTATTTTCAATTTTCATTCTGCACGCTGTTTTGAAAGTATAAATTTAGTCTCTTGAGGTGCACACTTCAAGATGAGCATGGTCTACCTATATCACTTTCACTCACATACATTAAGGTCTAATTCAATTTCAACTATTCTAGCAATTATAATATAGTTTTGATATTTGGTTTTCCTTTGGTTACCTTTACAACATTTTACAACAAATTAACAAGATTTTTGAACAATAAAGAGAAAGAGATGCAGATTGATCACAAAATGGGCTTAAGACATTGCAATTCTATTACCTTACCTCTTTAGAGATATAAGGTCAGAAAAGGTTACAATTTAAGGTATTTCAACCCTCCTGTGATGTCATAGGTTTTTGCAATGATGTTATTAATTTTAATTCATACCCAGTCGAAAAAAAAATCTTTTTGGAAGAATGCTTTATGTTTCAATAGGTGTAATGAAACATATTGTTAAGTAAAAGAATTTTAAAAATATATTTTTTCTTCATTTAATCGATTTTTCAATCATTAAAAATGTCGCTAAGGACGATAATTTTCTTGTATCGTCATTCAGGCATTTTCTTTCCTGTATTTCTAACATAAAATGGATTACCGGCTATTCATAATTCAAATATATTTATGAAGAAGCTATTATTTTAGAACATTCAACATCAGCATACTGTATTTGAAACAGTTTTTACATAATTTTTATAATATTATTTACTAAAATATTCGACTTTTTTATACTGTCATATACTTCTATTTATTCATGTCCTGTATCTTAAAGAATATACAACCTAAATACGTCTTTTGCAATTACTAGTATTAGTTATTTTAAACCATATTCAATGAAAATAAATGCAGTATTTCTACTTTGAACCATAAAAATTGTAAGGGTGGAAATACCTCAATGAAAAAAAAAACCCATTGAATCAGTAGTTAAATAATTATAACAAAATTGTTTTAATCTTCTTACCATACGCACAGGTACATGTCACAAATAAGAGAAACTGCAAAATTCTTAAATTCATCATTTTCAACCTGAAAAATATATAAATATCATATTTCTGAAATTGTTATCATGATATCTTTTATTAAGATATGCAAGACTTGCACTATTTAAAATCGGTTTATTGATATAACTGATTGCCTTTGACACATTGTTTGCATCTACTCAGATTCCAAGCTATTCCTTTGATAAATTTTATATGATTTGGGAAACGATATTGCTTATCTTCAACCACCAGTCGGACTGTTCTTTTGTCACAAGTTTTCTTTTATTTATTTATTTTTTTTGGGGGGGGGGAGGGGGTGTAAATTCGATGTAATTAATTTGATTTTTCTAATGTTTCAGTTCATTTAGGTACAATTATTCATTAATTTAGAAACAAACAATGAAATATGAAAAAAAAGTAGCGATAATAGAGTGATCGTCTTAAAAAATCTACAAGGTACAAACAAAATAAATATGTGAACAGGGCATACACGGACTCCCGGAA